TGAGCCTTTCCTGCTGCTGTGGCTGCTGCTCTGCAACTCAGGATACTGCAGCTCCTGTATGGTTCCCGCTCAGCTGACTGTCTTCTCCTCACTCCCGTGCCACAGAGTCAGTACAGATCAGCACCAGCCCTTTCCCCCTCCACTCCTCTCAAGGAAATGCCCAAGGATCTGAACTCCATGGGTGACAAACCTCCAGGGTGAGAGTGGCAGGGAGTCCTGGGGGTTCAGAGTTGCAGGTAGAGAATATAAACAGTTTTATACAGTTTTATAGTTTTATGCCTGTCAGGAGAGTGATGTGGCACCCTAGTAGGGGTAGGAGGTCCAGTTGTTAGGGAGTCTCTCCCATGACGTAGAGTGGGAGGATGTTTGAATTCTGCTCGCTTGTTTGTATGGAGTAAACTGTGAGCCCTTATGGGGGAGAGGACTCCCATCTGTTTGGTGGTGGATTTTGTACCTTTTGATTGTATTTTTGGGGTTGCAGCTCAGCTCAGCAAGGATGATGTGCATTCTTCAATCTCTCTCTTGGCTCAGCTCCAAACCATCGGCTTACTTGCTAAATTTCTGTCCTTAAAGTCTCCTTCTGGATGGGAGCCTCTGTAGAAAGCTATTTTCCTTCAGTGTCTTTTACTCTAGAAAGAAAGTGCTATTCTTTCACTGGGAAAGAAGCAAACGTTCTTTGCTTTGAATTCCTTGAAGGACTGTTACTCATTCAAAGTGAGGAAAATGATTTAGCTAATGTCTCAATTATCTGGTCTCTTGCCACTTATGTTTTCTAAGGCCATTTGCACATTCTTTTCCATGTGGTATAGTGGAAGAAACAATTAATTCTAATTTGGAAGGCCTGACTTTTTTGGTCACTGTTCTGCCATTTATCATTTGTGTGACCCTAGAGAAGCTTATCTCTAAGCCTTAGTCCTACATATATTAAATAGGAATAATATTGCCTGGCCTATATATTTCAAAGGGCAATTCTAAGGGTTAAACAAATAACATGCATGTATACAAATGCGAACAGTTATGATTTATAAAACTTTTGAAAATGCTATCCACTTCTTTTTTTTCATCCACTTCTTTTTAAAGAGAATTACAAAAAAATAAATGCATTTACTTCAATGTTGTATATAACTTACTTGTCAGTTGCATGCAAAGTCATCCAGATTTATAGTGTCACCTTTCCTTTTCCTATTCAAATGAACCATCATGAATCCCTCCCATGTACCATGTAAAACTAGTACCTATGTTCCCCCCACCTTTTAATGCCTCTCAGCATTGTTAGGGAACTTAACAATTCCTCCATTATCTCCAGTCTTGAGTTCCCTCTGCTAAATTTTCAGTCTCACATGTGTCTTGACCCTGCAGTTGTTATTTATGTTAACCTAATGCAATTCATAGTACTGGTTTGGATTTTCCCAAAATAACTCTAACACAAGGCAGTTCTAGAGATATTTGCTAATGGTACATAGTATGAGGATAATAGAGAAGGCTTTACTGCCGTACAGAAAGTGGTTTAAAAATACTAGTTAGGTGTCACCATCCTAAAATTCCTTAGCCACCCTGTCAAGGACATTTCTTATTGGCCAACTTGGCCCCCAGGACCCAGCTAGCTACTATATTGTTCAAGCCATGAAGCTATCTTTCCAGTCTTTCTTTGCATTTCCTATATGCTCATTTTTCTGGACCCATTAATCCTTCCCTAAGCTGTGCCTAGAAAACCAGAATATAATTCATTGTAACTGTAATTCTACCATTCATTTTCCTTTTTCCCATTGCAAATTTAGCTATATTTCTACCTTTGTTTCCCCATAGAGTCATCAAGGTACTTTTCTAAACATAGGGCCAACTATCTGGGCATTCTCCTTTAATAGCACAAAAGACTAGAAACAAGCCATAGGTTTGATCTTTCCCCTTGGTTGGAAGCAAAACAAGCAACATTTATCTTTTTTCAATAGCTATATCTTTTTCTTATTCTACAGAAAATTTAGATCACATTTTTCTCATACACTCACCCACACCCACAGAATGGTCACAAAGTTTTAATATTTTAAAATCAAATTTTCCTACTACATGTTTGCAGGTTGAGCATCCCTAATCTGAAAGTCTGAGATGCTCCAAAATCTGAAGCTTTTTGAGTTCTGGCACCACAAATGGAAAATTCTATATCTGACCTCATATGAAGAGTCACGGTCAAAACTCAGGCTCATAACACAGTTTATTCAGCACCCTCAAAGAAACAAAAGACCCTTCCTGACCCCTTCAGTCCACTAGGTCTTTTCCATACACAGCTTGCTGGTGATCCCACACAACCAGAAATGGTTCACATGAGTGGCTGAGGCAGGGACACCATGGCTTTCTAATGGTTCAATGTGCACTTACTTTGTTTCATGCACAAAACAATTTAAGATATTGTATAAAAGTACCTACAGTTTATGAGTATGATGTGTATATGAAACAAATGAATTTTGTGTATAGACTTGGGTTGTAGCTCACATTACTGCATTATATACATGCAAATATTTCAAAACCTGAAAAAAAATCTGAAATCCAAACACTTCTGGTCCTAAGCATTTCATATGAGAAGCACTCAACCTATATTTTTAGTTAAAGGCCCTTGGATTAAATTATTTTATCTCAAAATTGGCTAGAGAAAAGACTTTTTAAAAAAGTACATCATAGCTGTATACAATAATGCATTTATGTGGTACAATGTGCTGGTTTTATATACAATTTGAAATACTTTCATCAAACTGGTTAACAAAGCCTTCACCACACTTTCTTAATTATTGTGTTAAGATATTTATACTCTATACTTAGTAGATTTGTTTTTTCTGAGCAGTTTTTGGCCGGGGCTGGGTTTGAATCTGCCGCCTCTGGCATATGGGGCCGGTGCCCTACTCCTTTGAGCCACAGGCGTTGCCCAGTAGATTTGACATGTACCCTTTTTGAGGCAGAGTTTCCCTCTGTTGTTCACACTAGAGTGCTGTGGCATCAGCCTAGCTTTAGCAATGTCAAACTCCTGTGTTCAAGCCATCTTTCTGTCTTAGCTTCACAGGTAGTTGGCACTACAGGTGTATACACCTGTCAAATTTTTCTATTTTTAGTAGAGATGGGGTGTTAGTCTTGCTCAGGCTAGTCTTAAACTTCTGAGCTCAAGGGATCCTCCCCCTTCAGTCTCCAAGAGTGCTAGCGTTACAGACATGAGCCACCATGCCAGCATAGAGCAAGACTTTTCTCTTGCCTAATTTATTTTCACATGTAATGTCCCAGAAACTCTGGAACTTCCATTAACAAAGTGAATCTATGCAATGCCATCTCCCCAGCCTCAGTATACACTCTCATTCCTCACTGCTGGTCAGGATTATATTACTTTTTGATTGCAAAATCACAGACTGAATACTAGTATATAGAGGTGAAGCCTTAGGAAATGCATAGTGAAACCCTGCTGTTCAGTGCCCTGTCGAAACTGCCCCTCTGCAGCACATTTGTCTGCTTTGCTGTTGTGTAAGCACCTTGGCAGTGGTCCCCTGCATTAGTTTCCTAGGGCTGCTGAGAAGACAACCACAAACTAGGTGGCTTATAATGATAGGAATTTGTTCTCTCAGGGTTCTTGAGGCTACAAGTTCAAAATCACTGTCGCTCTCTCTGAATGCTCTAGAGAAGGATCCTGTCTCGCCTTTTCCTATCTTCTGAGATTTGTGAAGATATCCTTCTTGATATCCTGTGGCTTGTCAGTGTATTGCTCCAGTCTCTGCCTCTGTCTACATATATCCTTCTTTCCTGTGTGCTTGTGTCTTTGTGTCCAAATATTTCTCTTACAAGGATTAGGGTCTACCTAACTGGATTAATGTCTAGTATGGCTCTTCTTCATTTGGTCCATCTAAAAAGTCTCTACTTCCCAATATGGTCATATTCTGAGGTTCTTGGTGAACATGAACTTTTAGGGAACACTATTCAACCCAGTATGGCCCCCTATTCCCACATGGGACCAAAGGAGATCAGCTTCTGAGATCATTCAAACTCCAAGGGGATGGCCTTGTGCCAAGTTGTCTTTAATTTCTAGACTAGCAAGAAATCATTGCTTTTCAAAGTGACATTAATTTTTCTGTAAACTAAGACACTATGCTATTTCTTTTTATTCCCTGTAGGCTTCTAGCTAAACTTTACACTTTTTCATATGGGTGCTTCTTATGGATCAGTTCCACCAATTTCCTCTGTTTTCAGTGTCTGAGTCAGCATTTGCCCATTTGGCATTTATGGATTGCCACACAACAGTGAGGAACATGGGGAGGCCAGGGTGGAAGAAAGGCCCATCCATGGTCAATGTCTTCGACCATTTTTCACAGTTATTGTCCTAATTAATTTTTTTTTTTTTGAGACAGTGTTTCACTATGTCGCCTTGGGTAGAGTGCTGTGACATCACAGCTCACAGCAACTTCAACCTCCCAAGTAGCTGAGACTACAGGAGCCTGCCACAACAACCAGCTATTTTTCAGTTGGAGTTGTCATTGTTGTTTGTCAGACCTGGACTGCATTCAAACCTGCCTGTTCCAGTGTATGTGGCTGGCGCCCTAGCCACTGAGCTACAGGCACTGAGCCGTCCTAATAAATTTTTGAAAATAGTTATTTTCCTTTACCCCAACAATGAAAAATAAAGTTACTGAAGCCAAAATATTATTGGAAATGGCCTGAGGAGGTGTGGGGCTGGCTTATTTTTCTAACATTGGTTTCTGCAAATCTTGACTCTTCCTAGACTAATCTTACTGGCCTATATCCATCCCCTAGGCTCCTACCAGTTCTTCTCTGGCCTCCCCACCTCATATTCTCGGTGTTGTGTAGGACATGTAGCAGTGTTTGCAGAGTGGCAGTCAATTATAGCAAGTTAGGGTAGGCAGAACTGTGTTTAATTTAGATCTGCAATTTAATTAATTTTAATTTAATTTAGATCCCCAATTTCTGTGTTTTGCTTTTCCTTGTATTATTCTTTGGTTTGTTTGATGTTTTAGGTGATGAAGCCAACCCTTGCAAGTTTCAGGCATGCAATGAATTTTCAGAGTGTCTGGTCAACCCCTGGAGTGGAGAAGCAAAGTGCAGATGCTACCCTGGGTACTTGAGTGTGGAAGAACTGCCCTGTCAGAGTGTCTGTGACCTACAGCCTGACTTCTGCTTGAACGATGGGAAGTGTGACATTATGCCTGGGCATGGAGCCATTTGTAGGTATGCTGTAGTTGGGGGAATTTAGCTATGCAGGCTATAGGTACTTCCTCTAAAGAAAAGGGGTCTGCATTTGTAATTTTTGGATAATTATTATAATATTTATTATAGAAATTACATCTAGCCAATAGATGGGTGACATCTAATTATCATGTAAAAACCAAGTCATTTAATAGGACAGGATTTTGCCTAGTTCAGTTGGTTATTTTATGCATTAGGGAGCTATAAAAAATACAGAGAGTACAAAATAAATGTATATATATTTTAAGATAGGAAAAAAGCTCTATTGACATTATAATACTCAAGTTACATTTGACTTCTGCAATTATAGGAGGTACCAATGTGACTTATATTCATCTTTTATTATTGCTATATACTGAGTAGTACAATATGAGTACCATTTTTTCTTTTCTGAAAATGTGTATACATTTTTAGGCACCTCTATATTATTTAAAATATGTCCTCCTACTTAGAATAGTTGGAGAGCTTTGTGTTATAGGTTTTAATGGTGATTGTAAGGTGTTTCAGTGAGGTTTAGGCATAAAGTGAAAATGAAGGAATTTTGTTGTTCTGTTTGGATTATATTCTTAATGACTTTGGACTCCTTTTAGTCCTACTGAGTATTCATTAAAAAATAAAGAAAAGCACGTATTTGAAGTATTCAAAATAGAGACAAAACTATTTTGTTAAGTACACCTGAGGTCCATTTTTAAAGGTAGAAGAAAGGGGAATGTTGTAGATAAGCAGACTCAGTCGGCCTAAACACCCTTTCCTGCCACTCCTCCTAAACAAAGGCGAACAAATTAGCCTGTGAACCACACACAGCCAAGCTGTATGGTTGTAAGAGAAGAGGATGCTGAGGATAACAGGAGAAACATACATTTGTAAAGTCAAAATGGGAAAATGTTGGCATGGATGCCAAAAACAGAGGAGACAGGTAGAAATGAGCTAGCCTCTTCCACATGAGAAAGTATTAACAGTAGTTATGTAAGAAAATATCCCTACTCTTATGTAGCATCTTCAAACAATGCATTAAAAATGTTGAAAATGTGAATTTGCATAGAGTATGATAGTGCTTCTGTGTTACTTATTTTTATTTTTGTAATTTCTCTGTAAGTTCACAATTATTTTAGAATAAAATGTTAGAATGCGGGGAAAAAAGTATACAATTTAGTTAGATTACTAAGAGTAAAAATAATCTCTTAGTGTTCAGAGATATGAATATTATTTTGAAATGCAGTGATTTCCTTCCTGCTGTGGGGATTGAAAATGTTTTCTCACCAGTCTGAGCCCTTGGGGTTTGAAGGACCTCTTTAGTATGGTGAAAGGACGTGAGGAGTCTGCAGGCCTGGGCTCTAGACCCGGCTCTGTAGCTGACTAATCGTGTGACCTAATGCCAGGCTCTGCCTTTCCTGGGCCTGCTATTCTGTTATCTGCATATATGGAGGTATTAAATACTTTAAATCTGTTCAATATTTTGTTCAATCATTTATAGTTATTGAGGGCCTGTTAGGTCTCTGCCAGGCATTATGCACAGCCTTGACTTGTATGGCCATTTAACCTGCATATTTGACTGTGTAATAAAGCTTCCTGTGGTCAGCATTTATTTCTCTACCTTTTCTCGATCCCTCTGAAGTTTCTGCTGTTAAGTGTTACCCTGAGCAGACGGATTCAGATTTTGGACCGTTGGTTACAGATGCAGAGTGGGTGAGAACTGGTGGTACCGAGGAGAGCACTGTGAGGAGTTTGTGTCTGAGCCCTTGGTCATAGGCATCACCATAGCCTCGGTGGTTGGACTGCTTCTGCTGTCTTCTGCTGTCATCTTTTTCCTCATCAGAACTTATCGAGCACAGCATGCCAGGAGAGAAAGAGAGAGGCCCTCCAGGTAAATGAGAAAAAGAACTCTCTGATGGAATAAAATATTTGATGTATTCTTTATTTAGTATTTACCATGTGCCAAATATTGGACAAGGACCAGGTGGGTGGGAGAGAGCTGTCAGGTTAAATAAAAGCATGGCTACTGACCTCAAAGGGGTGTCAAATCAAAAAGGAATGGAAGTAGCACTGTGAGTAAGATGCTAACGAGCCCAGAATAGGTATAAATTAGTTTTGCTTGGGGGAGAGATCTTAAAAGTTTTAATGGTATTTGTTGGCATTTACCTGGACCAAAGAGTAGGCCTTTGCTACTCTTGGGATGGGATGATCTCTGGCTAGTTGAATGAGCATGAGCAAAGTCAGGGAGGCAAGCATGAATCTTAGGAGGAGGGGAGGAAAGTATTGTTGCATGTGCCCAGAATGCCTCTTTCCTGGTGGGGAGCCTTTGGAGAGGGGTTGGTGGAGATGAGATGGAAAAGTTAAGTTTCCCTTATGTGAGGGGCAGATCTGTGACAACTTGTTCCCCTTTGGCTCAGACCAGTGGCAGTTAGCCAGATTTTCAATCTAGCTAAGAATCTGGCAAGAAATGAAATCTGATTCTATTAGTGTAGCTTCGATGACAGGGGAGATAAACCCTGGTCCATTTGCTAGACTAGGCGTACAGGGCTGTTATGTGAAATCTGATTCTTTTAGTTAAGTGTTGCTTCAATGATAGGGGAGATGAAACCTGGTCCATTTGCGAGGCTAGGCATCCAGGGACACTTTGGTCTGTTATGTGGTCATAATCCTGGGGTGCACTTTGCTTCTGTGCTAGAGTCTCTAAGAGTTACCACTTCACGTCTAGTTTACCTTCCCTCACCCTCTCCCTTGCCTGAAGAGCACCCAGGATATACCTCCATCACTGTTCTTATACTGTTTATTGAGTCTGACTTTTCATTAGACTGTAGTCTCATTCAGGGTAGAGATTGCAACAAATTCTTTGTATCATCAGCTTCTAGAACAGTCCTAGGCACATAATCAATGCTCAGTAAATATTCATAGATTTGAATCGAATTTGAGGCCCAGCTACCCCCAAACCCAATATTTATAGTTTGATCAGATTCTCTGTGTGGCTACACACTGATTTTTGATATGTATAACTTCATGAATGAGAGACCTGCCTTTGTTTAATGAAATACTGTATGTTATTAGCAAACATAGCTCCCAACCAACATTTACTGAGTGCCAGGCACTGAGGGCAAATAAGG